AAAAAAACTTGGGGAAGGATGCACATGGGCAAGTCAGTGCTCTAATTTGGGAGTGGGTTAGTTAAACTATTTTAACTACCAAGTTACTGGCCAGAGCTATTCACATTTCTCCCTACCCCCTCTTTCCAGAAGGAGGCTGAGAAGTACAATCTAATCACACATTTGGAAGGAAGGACAATGGAGAACAATCGGCAGACAGCACTAACCACTATTACATTGCACAATGAACAGCACTCCTACATTTTACTTGACCTTCATTTCAGCACAATGCAGTTTTCCTTCTTTTTTGTTTTTTTCTTTTCATTGGACATTAAAAGAAGAAACAGGAGACATAAAGTGGGGGAGCAGAGGTCTTCTGTCTATCAGCCAGACGTATTATTCAAGTGTATTATTTAATGGTCTTGCCAACCTACCCATTATCATGTTCATTCTGCCTGAAGGTTTGACATTTATTCCAAAGAGCAGCATGCAGTTGTCAAGTACTTCCTTGTGAATACAAATTCAAAGAAAATGCTGCCCAATGAGTCTAAGGAGATTGCTAGTGACCATAATTATACCTCTTCAGTAAGTCCTGAGGGAATGTCTTGGACTGGGCTTCTAACTAAATGGAATATGAAAAATACACACATTAACAACTTCCATGCACATCAACTAAACACAAGAGGGACTTGTTTCAGAATAAGAATTATTTTTAGGTTTAAAAGAATAATTTATGATCCTAAAACAAATAAGTCCATACCACTCCTCAGAAGGAAGATTGGGCAATCTACTTCCGTAGAGATATCTCCTTGGAAACCCAAGGAGGGGTCGCTATGAGTCAAATTGACTCAAGGGGAGTGAGTTTGGGTTTTTTTTTTTTTTTTTCCTTTTTTGGTACTTAAAAATACAGAACAATTCAATAAGCTGCTTCCTCTTCTGAGTTCCACTGATTCAAAGAATTTCTTATATGTTAAGTGAGTAAGACACCTTGACAAAAGCCAACAAAATAGACTTTTTCTTAAACTTTTCTTTAGGATA